ACTCACCATTGCCAGGCTATAATGAAGTGTCACAATCCCTCTCTGGACTGGTGTCAGAGAAAGCTGAGTAGAAGGCAAGGCTTCTATACTCATCCCCGCTAGGCATTAAGAAGGTTCTGCTCCTCGCACTGCCAGAGAGACTGCATGAAAGGCCTGAACAACTACTCACACCCTGAGGTAATAAGACCCTCCCAACTGGGGTGATGCAGAGATAGGACTTCCACCACCTCTCACTCCTGATGAGGACACCCTCCTTGTGCTGACACTGGAGGTCATGTGAGGAACAAGAACCAGGCACACCTAGCCCTCCTGCCATAGAACCCAGTAGGGAGCAGGAACTCCGACAGGACCCAGCAGTATTAAGCAGTCCCCCGCCCATTTGAGTGTCACTGGAGGCTGAGGGGGAAACCTGGACTTCACCCACACTTGGCATAACAGGTTGATGTCCCATCTTCTCCTGCTGGTGTGCTAGCAAATGAAACCAACTAAAACAGGTTTAAACAAGATTCAGGATCTCATAATCCACAATGTAGACGTTTCAAATAAAAATCCTTCAGTCCAGCCGGTGTGGCTCAGTGGATTGAGCATGGTCCCATGGACTGAGAGGTTCCGATTCAATTCCCAATCAGGGCACATGCCCAGGTTTCAGGCTCGATCCCCAGTAGGGGGCATGCAGGAGGCAGCTGATGGATGTTTCTCTCTCACATCGATGTTTCTCTCTCTCTCCCTTCCTTTCTTTCTAAAAAAATCAATACAAAACAAATTTAAAAAACGCTTCTTCATATCAATAACCTGCAAGATCTTAATTTGAATAAAGAGGACAATAAATGCCAACACCAAGGTGGCAGAAATGTTACAATGATTTGACAAAAATGTTAAAGCATCCATTTTGGCAAAACAATAAAATAAAAGCTTCAAGAAGCAATTTTGGACTTTCAGTCAAGATGGTGGCGTAAACGTGGTATTGCCTCCTCCCACAACCACATAAAAATTACAATTAAACTACAAAACAACCATCATTCAGAACTGCCTGAAATCAAGCTGAATGGAAGTCCTATAACTACAAAATTAAAAAAAAAAAAACAGCCACATCGAGACTGGTAGGAGGGGTGGAGGCGGACAGGCTGGTCCCACACCCACATGTGGCAGATAAAAATCAGGACCCTCGGCGGGGAAGGTCCTCCCTGAGGACTGAGGGGTCCCCGTCCCACACCAGGTGCCCAGCTCAGGGTTTCAGTGCCAGTAAGAAAAGTCCCCATAACTTCTGGCTGGAAAAACCAGCGGGAACTGAAGCCGAGGGAGGCTGAGGCTTCTGGAGCCCCAGGCAGCTGTTCTTAAAGGGCCCGCACACGGACTTACTCAGATTTGCTCCTTCTGAGCTCGGAGGGGAGGCAGCTTGAGGGGCACCAGGGTTATACAGGAAAGAACTGAGCTGTTTGGTCATAGGATGAGGGCTGGAAGAGAAGCTTTCTCCTGGACAGAGGTGCTGGCAGAGGCTGATGTTCCTTTGGTGAGCCCTTCCCTGGGGAAGCAGACTGCCACCATATCTGGGACTCCAGCAACCTGGCTCACACTGTTTGCTTCATCCTGGTGATTCCCTGAGGCCCCGCCCCACCCAACTTTCGGGCCCACCCAAGCTGTTTCCAAAGGATTTACCATAGGTTTGGCCTGTCTTGGATCCTGCTTCAGAGTTTCCTAAAATCTCTCAAACAAACAGCATTTGGTCTCAGCAAGCCCCATACCTCTCGTTAAGTGGCCCCAGGCCTGGCACTAGAAGCAGCCAGCCTTGGTTCACAAATTGGTTTTTCTTGAACACCTCCAAATCCAACATAAGAAGCAGCCATTGGCAGATCACTTTATAGATTATGCCTGGTGGCCCCAGGTAGAACACAGGCAGTGGCTGATCTGGCTCCAGAGCCAGCACACCCAGTAGACAGCTTCATACCACATCAAAACACCACTACCCAACCACCTCCACAAGTGACACACTCAATGAGTGGACTCAGTGTGTACCAGAGCCCAGATGAAGTAAGCCTTGTTCTGTGCGCTGGGCCCCTACACAGCTTATCCTCCAAGGTAGTCAGAGGCCAGTGGTCAGTGGGCACAGCCAGTCCTTGCAGCTGATCAGCCTGAGTAAATCCCTCCCATTGATGTGACAACAGCAATCAAGACTCAATTACAACAGAAGGGTGTACAGTCCACACTAGGGGTGCACCAGGAGGACACAGCAGCTGGGGTGATCAAGGAGGCTGTGCCACTGGATCCTACAGGACACCTACAACAATAGGCCACCCAACAAAGCCTAGGAGACATAACAACTCTACCTAATACATAGAAACAATCACAGGGAAGCAGCCAAAATGAGGAGACAATGAAACATGTCCCAATTGAAAGAAAAGAACAAAACTCCAGGAAAAGAACTAAACAAAATGAAGATAAGCAATCAATCAGATGCAAAGTTCAAAACACAGGTTATAAAGTTGCTCAGGGAACTTGGTGAGACCTTCAAGGAACTTAAGGAGACCTTCAAGGAACATAGTGAGAACATCAACAATATCAAAAAGGACCAGTCAAAAATTAAGGATGCACTAACTGAAATAAATAATAATTTACAGGGAATCAATAGTAGAGTAGGTAAAGCCAAGTAGCAAACCATCAATTTGGAATATAAGGAAGTAGAAAACACCCAATCAGAACAGCAAAAAGAAAAAAGAATCCAAGAAAATGAGGATAATGTACAGAGCCTCTGGGACAACTTCAAGCGTTTCAACATTCACATCATAGGGGTGCCAGAAGGAGAACAGAGAGAACAAGAAATTGAAAATCTTTTTGAAACAATAATGACAGAAAATTTCCCTAACTTGGTGAAGGAAACAGACATACAAGTCCAGGAAGCACAGAGAGTCCCAAACAAGATGAACCCAAAGAGGTCCACACCAAGACACATCATCATCAAAATGCCAAAGGTTAAAGACAAAGAGAGAATCTTAAAAGCAGCAAGAGAAAAGCAGTTCATTACCTACAAAGGAGCTCCCATAAGACTGTCAGCTGATTTATCAAAAGAAATTTTGCAGGCCAGAAAGGAGTGGCAAGAGATATTCAAGGCGATGAAAAGCAATGACCTACAACTAAGATTACTCTATCCTGCAAAGCTATCATTTAGAATCGATGGACATATCAAGAGTTTCCCAGACAAGAAAAAGCTAAAGGAGTTCATCACCACCAAACCAGTATTATATGACATGTTGAAGGGTCTTCTTGAAGGAGAAGAACAACAAAAATATGAACAATAAAATGGCAATTAATACATGTCTATCAACAATTGAATCTACAAACAAAATAAGCAAGCAGAACAGAAACAGACTCATAGATACAGAGAACTTTTTGTTGTTTGCCAGATGGGAGGGGGTTGGAGGGATGGGTGAAAAAGATGAAGGAATTATGAAGTACACATTGGTTGTTAGACTGTTGAACCTCTAAGGGACTGGGGAAGGGAGGGGGGGATGAGATAAACCAAAGAACTTCTATGCATGTATGCATAACCAATGGACAGTGACAATAGTGTAGGGAAGGCAGGAAGAGGGGGAATGGGGAAGAGGGGGCCAATGGGGAAAAAAGGGGGGGAACATTGGCAATACATTCAACAATAAAGATGAGTTAAAAAAAAAGAAGCAATTGTGAACATGTTTGAAACAATAGAGTATCAGCAAAGAAATAGAAAGACAGCTGAGAAATGGATGACATAACGAGGAATCAAATAGAAATTTTAGAACTGAAAAACACAATAACTGAAATTTAACAATCCACTGCATAGCACACAATGCTCCAAAAGGTAAATATAAGAAATGGTGAATCCTTACATCTTGTATGCTAATTTTACCATTAATGTTTTCAAGACTCATAAGCAGCATCAACATGAGAAATTGAGCAACACCAATACTAGAAATAGTATTGTCTTCGAAGTCACATTTTTCAGTTTTGCTATAAATCTACTCCTGTACTTAAAAGTGATTAAAAAAAAAAAAAAAAAGCTGTGGTACATTTACACCATGGAATACGATACAGCTGTAAGAAAGGAAGATCTCTTACCTTTTGAGATGATGTGGAGGGACCTGCAGAGTATTATGCTAAGTGAAATAAACCAGTCAGAGAAAGACAAGTATCACATGATCTCACTTATTTTTGGACTATAATAAACAAAATAAACTGAAGAACAAAATAGACACAGAGACTTGGAAGTAGGGAACAGACTGACAGACCTTAGAGGAAAGGGAAGTGGGGGGCAGAGTGGGAAGAGATAGACCAAAGAACTTATATGCACATATGCATAGCACATGGACACAAATAACAGGGAGGTGAAGGCCTGAGGTGGGATGGGGTTTGGGGCAAGGGGGCAAAAAGGGAGACATCTGTAATGCTAACAATTAAAAAAGAGCATTTATAAGCTATTCTATAAAATATTTGATCTCACGTGAAAAATATCATGGCTTCAAAGTGAAAAAAAATTTAGAAAGCAAAGAGTTTCTGTGCTCACTAAGAAATTTGGGTGAATATGGTCTGTAACAGTCTATCTCCCTCTTGTTTATGCATTAAAAAAAATAATAACTTTAGGTCCTGGCTGGGTTGCTCAGTTAGTTAAAGCATTGTCCCAGTACACCAAAGTTTCGGGTTTAATCCCCGGTTGGAGCACATACAAGAATCAATCAATGAATGCATGAATAAGTGGAACAACAATTTCTCTGTGTCTATCTCTCTCTCTCTAAAAATCAATTAACATTTTTTTAAAAAGTGAACCAACTGCAACATTTGCATCCAGTCTGTTAACTCAGAAATTAGGTATAACACACTCAGAGAATAGATTTACCATTAAAAAATAAAATATATAAGGCCCATTATAATTGAAATATTATTCCTCAGAAATAGTCAAAAATGAAATAGAAATCAGGAAAGTATGTTCAATTTTACTTAAGACCAAGAAATATTTTGAAAAACACTTTTTTTTATTTATTCTTCATCAAAGGAACAGCCTTGATGGGAGAGGATGGCGCTGTCCTTATAATGTTAGCATTTTCTTTGATAAAACGATGCTGAATAACTGGCCTGTAGTTAAACTTCTTGTTAGTTGCATCAATTTTGGCTTTTACATTCTTTGGTGGCTTGGTGACTTGAGGTAATAATCCATTGACAGCATATAAATAGTACATATCCTCTGTCTGGAAACAAAGAGAGGAACATTTTATACAAAATATGCAGGAACTGAGAAAACTATAGGAAAAAACATTAGCAAATTAACACCTCTCTTCTCCATGTAACGTACAGGAAAAGTACAAAACTGAAACAGTAAGATAAAAGCAAATAATTAACATGGAAAATAAATTCAGGAAACCATTTGCTTTTATGCATTCACTAAAAAGTCTCTCATCGTTAGAGGTCTGCCCTGTGAATGAACTAAGCATCCACCTGATGTAGGGGGAAACAACCTACTGGTTTGCAGGAAACTGTTGCCCAGCAGGAACTATAACTAATGGAAGTAATATCTTGTAAGGCGAAACTATACTTGAGAATTTAAGTGTAGATATAGAACCAACTGGTAAAATATGTGGAACTTCTTTCTGTTAGATTATGAAAGTACATCATTAATATACCCATTTGAAATTATTGAGCATGGTGTAAAATTATTAATGACAATCATAATCTAAATCAAGTCAGTACAATGCATACAGGGATTCATTCTAAAATCCTTCTTTTCTTCTGCATTATGCACAGGATGGCAATATTAAATTAGGGAGTCTGGCATTTTCTGCATGATTATGTTCATGCTTAAATCCCATTGCCCTTGCAGAATTTCCTGATGCTACCAATGTTCGTCTATGTCAGGACATCTTCCTTGCAGTAAGATTTGTACCATGTATGTTCAGAAAACTAATTTAGGATAAGTCCAGGCCAAGTGAGTACTGTGGTGACATCGGGGTTCAATATACATCAAAGAAAGCTAAGTGCAGTCATTGCTTGCACATCTGGAATGGGCCTATTTTAATCATGACTGGCCCTTCTATCTAGTGTTCACAGTAATTATGCATTCAGAATCAATGAGTCAAAAGTGGAAAAAACCAAGAACCCAATATTAAAAATGAGTTAAATAACATTTTACTTCATATAAGGATGTTCAACTTGAAAGAAAAAAAAAAGCAAAGCTACATTTTGGTGATTGTATATATGTCATTGTAAATTTTTACATTACAAATGACACACTTCATGAGTACAAATAGATAAGCTACACTCAAGAGACCTACATTAATGATGGATACAGTGGGTACACATGAGTGAGCTATATGAAGGGATGTATACTCCTATCTGGGTACAAATGGGAACTACGTGTTGGGACTTGTACCTTCACCCAACACATCTCCAAGACCCTTCGGAAATAATTACTAAATGTTATTGTATGTACTTCAATTAAGATACAAATAATTTTGCAATAAATGATGGTGAGTGTCTGCATATATATATTTACATATAGTACATAATATATAATCCAAATGTAAAATATATTTGTAAGAACTTGTTCATGTCCTTGATTCTAACATTCTATATGGTAATAAGAATGTTTATTTTATAAAGGTTTACTATTACAGTTGTTATATTTATAGTTAACTTTCTTCAATCAAACTGTGAATAAAAACAATTATTTATGTTTTTGAAAACACTGTAAAGATATAGCTGTATGTCTTTAACACTAATCTTCCCTTTGAAAATATAAATAAAAAGCAGAAGTTAAAATAAGAATAAATCAATACCTATATTACAGTGAGTCATAGAATAATTTTGTTGATGCTTACAAAAAAAATGCCAAATTGAGAACTATACTCCTCAACTATCTATTAAAAGACATTTATTTTAAAAACAACTATTTTTTAAACAAAGGACATTTCCACATTTAGGTATCATTGATCTCTCTAGTCTGAAAAGGGATCAGCCAAAGCCAAAGCCCTCATGGAATGAATGCCTAAAGCTATGTTTTAAAGGACATATTCTTATGAATGGAAACAACTGATTATCCACTAGCAGATGTGGTCTGGCCCACCCACGTCCCTTAGCTTTTTTTCATTTTACTGCCTGTCCCAACTTCCAATTGCCAATATCTGCACTTCTCTGACTCTGTTTTTCAGAAATCCAGAAGGCTTCTCTGAATGTTCCATAGCCAATGATTGAAGAGTGGCAGTTTCTGTAGAAATACCACAGCTCCCTGGCCTCTTCAAGCGTGAACATCCTAAGGTGTACGTTCCATCCACATTATTGCCCAGAAAACCCTCATGGTATGCAATTTCAGTTGCCCACTGTGGTAGTTGTCTTGATAAAGCACCCTTTATTCATTTTCATTCCTTTCGTCTCATGTCCTGGTTTCCCTACATGTGTTTATTGAGATCACATAGCAAATATGCTACTTGGGACTTGAATCCTTATTTCAGGAAACACAAACATATATATGCCATTTCCCATAGTTTCATGACGATAGATTCCTTTAAAAGCAATGTATTTACATACATATTTCTTATGTCTGGTTATGTCTTTAATTATAATAGATCCAGCTATATATAAATTACTTTTGTCAAGCATTATGCTTTATCTTGGATAAATATGATAGTTCTCACATTTTTATATAAATTATCTAATATGTATCATTTCCACCATGGAAAGTTGAGTGGGCTATCTACTGTCTTTGAGTAGCACTGCTTTTTGTAACAATTTAATCAAGTTAACTTGTATCTCTAAACTAGTGCTATATGCCTTGTATAATAGTGGGAGAAAAGCAGTTTTTAATCTTTCTAAATATGATTTATTGAAAGGGAACTTATGAAGCTTGCTAACATGATTGTTGAAGTTTGTGTAGGCTAATATTTAACCAAACCATTCTTAAAAATCATCTTTTTTATTTTCAAGTAAAGCACAATGAAGACTGTTCATTTCATATATTTTACAAGTGTTAATTGACTTAATGCTCAAAATCTACACATCAAAAAAGAAACAATTTAAACAATTTTTATTTAGATAATAAATTAACTTTTTAAATCCTTCACATTTATCATGGTGTGTCATTAAGAGCAAGGTTTTGGAGTCATACAAACAATGTTTGAGCCATGATTTCAAAATCACTGATTTGATATGTGTAATCACTTTTGTAAATCTCAAGGGCTATATACTTAGCATAAAAGCCAGTATAAAAAAGATTACATAGAACATGATTCCATCTATATAATATTTAAACAAAATCATAGATATTGAAAAAAGATTAGTGGTTGCCAGGGGTAGAGAGGGAATTGTAGTGTTGGACATGACTATAAAAGGATTAGCATGACATAGTTCCTCTGCTGTGATGGAAGAGATCTATATCTCAGTTTTGACTGTAGTTATACATATATATACATATATCAAATTGCCTAGAACCACACAGACACACCCAACAAATGCATGTGAACAAATGCTAAAAATGGAAGGTTTCTAGCCTAGTTAACAGTATTTTATCAATGTCAATTTCTTTGTTTTGATATTTTACTACAGCTATATAAGATGCCACCATTGGGAAAAGCAGGGAGAAGGATTCTAAGGATTCTCAGGACTCTATGTATTATGTTAGCAATTCTTGTAAGTCTATACATATATTTTTATGTTAAAGAAATATGAAATTTATGAGTGATCTGGTGATTTGAACACTAAATGGATATTTTATGTGCTGGTCTTAAGAAATCATTGTTAAATTGTAGATGTGATAACATTTCATGGTTATGATTTTTATCTTTTAGAGATTAACAGAAAATACTTGCAGATAACAGGATATCTGGGATTTTCCTCAAAATAATATGGAAAGCGGGGAAGGGGTTGGGAATATACTTGAAGCAGAATTGGCCGTGAGTGGATAAGTGTTCATACTGGGTGATGAGTACATGGAGATGAATTGTTCACTCTATTTCTACACATATTTGGAGTTTTCCATAATAAAAAGAGAATCAACAAAATGGTGATTTCTTAAACACGTTTCAATTTCAATTTTCCCCACGTAAGCTTTATCAAACTGTACCACTTCATGACTAAATGAAAATGTCATGTTCTCAGCTTATGTCAGATACCAACTTATTCTCTCACAAAACCCTTCAGTTCTGTGGCCAGTGGTTAAATGATCAAATCAATATGGAAAACCAGGCCCAGATTTTGTTGGCAAAGTCTCCTAAATAGTTAATTTCAGAAATGTCCAGTGTACACTAGATGAAATAAACACCATTTTAATTTGGAAATTTTATTTTAAAGATGTCCTTTAGCCCAGCCAGTGTGGTTCAGTGATTGAGGGTCAACCCATGCACCAAGAGGTCACTGGTTCGATTCCCGATCAGGGCACATGCCCCGGTTGTAGGCCAGATCCCCAGTGGGGGTCATGCAGGAGGCAGCTAGTTGATGTTTTCTCTCATTGATGTTTCTATCTCTCTCTCCCTCTCACTTCTTTCTAAAATCAATAAAGAAAAAAAAATTTAAAGATGTCCTTTAATCCCCTTAGATGAAAGTATGCCCTTATTTCTTGAGAAATAGGTACACCAACATGATAATTTTAAATCAAGTATCAATGCAGCAAAGGGCTATGTGCAGCAAGACTCCAGCGGCTCTTCATTTTTATTACCTGAGTTGAAAGAACTCTCAGAAAGATGACAAATATAAATACTTTTCTCAGGCAATACTCAACATTATTCTTTTCTCTCTTCATTAAAGCAGTAACAACACATTTTTCTGTCCATGGCACTGCCTAATTAGTGTCTTATTTAGAAGTCTTGTGATCACTTTGACATCAAGAATTGTGTCATGAAACATGACTACATGTCCTTTGTGCCTATGCTACTGAAATAGACAGTGGTGTTTTTTTCATAAATAATTTGAAAGTAGTTTTTAGCCTAAATGTTCTTAGTAAAATATATGTATAAAATATTATGAAGAAATTTTTCTTACCAGATAAATTTTCAAAATTTTGTTTATGTTAACACTTAATGAAATGATCACTTTAACAGACTTTTATATTAATGGCCAATTTTACATTGTGTTTTTTCAATTCAAAATAAATTTTACCTTCTATTTAATTTTCTTCCTTTTGGACTTTAACATTTCACAATACCTTTATGCCTTAATTAAAGGTTCCAAAAATCTGTATATCAAATCACCTAAAGTCTTTGCATAAGTTATAATAGAAAACATTATGTTATTATACAAGTCACTTTGCAGTCATTATTTGTCTCTTCCACATTTCCTTAATATGGACAGAAAACCATTTCTTACTTCCCACAGGTGATGACAACTTTTTTTGTTATAGTCCATAATTAAAAGTTCTTTATTGGACAAAAGGAAATTCAAATAAGACTGAACAGTTGAAATACATTGCTCTTGCAAGATAATGCTGCTCTTCTTTATCTGTTATCATTGGGTGTAACCTTTCCTCCCTAGATCATTTTAATGCCTTTAGTGACATCAACATCCTTAATCATTGCCTTATAGAACTCACCTTTATTACTAATTTTGCTCTGTATTTCCTACCATACATTTGGGGTTTAAAACCCACAATTAGGATAATTCCATTAGTGTCAAAAGGAGGAATTTCCCCAGACTGGGGTTTTACGAAAAACTCAGGATCACTGTCAGGTAAGAAGTATGCAGTAAATGGATCAGGATATCTGAAACAAAAATATAAATATCATCTTTAAATTTTATCATTACCCCATTCTCTTTGTGAGAACTTGATGACTAGAGTTTATATCCTGCTGTATTGGTCAACAGTTAAACCCTAATGCTGTCATGCAGTCGGATATTTGTAACTTTGTGGAATGCTTACAGAACAGCAGCAAGGAGGCATTTAAAAAATTACTAAAGAGTGTCATTCTTCTCAGTGTGACAATAAGGAATCCTAATGATTTTTTTTCAATCACATCTTACATCTATAGTGTACAAAGAATAAAATGCTTTCCCTATAAAAACTGGAATAACTCAATGTCCTAAATGAAAATTCAGTCATTTGTAAATAATTTTATATCTGAAATGCCTGACCTCAACAGCTATTGTGAAGCCTCTGTTTATACTACTATTCCAATGTGATATTTGCTCACTATCCTATAGTTTTCCACTTGTGAAGTGACATGAAATTAGTTTACAGGTTCATTAAAGATTCTTGGGCCTGAAGATGAGTGGCTATAATATGAAGTGAACTGGGTGACATTTAAGATTCAAGTGACCATTTTCCTGTCAGGGTTGATTACATTTGCAATGAAAGCTGTGAAAGGAGTTGAGGAACTTCTTGGTAGAATAAAGCAGGGGAGAGGCACAGTGCCTGGAAGGTTGCAAGTGGGAAATTTAAAATCCAAACTGACAGGGGAGATGTAGGTAGAAGACAAAGAACAGTTTCCTAGAAAAGATCCACCAGCAAAACATAGAAGAAGATATGGGAGGTTCAGGTTGGGACTTATCCATTCAGCAAATGTGTAGTGAGTATCATGGCAGAGGGCTCGAAAAAGTGGACTTTGGACAGGGATGGCCTAGATTGGAATCCTAGCTCTATCAAGGTGCATGACTTCAGGCTAAATTCTTAGCCTTTTTGTACCTCAGTTTTCATATCTGTTAAATGAAGTTAATTCCTATAAAGCCATTAAATCAGTGCCTGGCATGTGGAAAGTGCTCTATAAGGATTAATCAAAATTAATATAGTCATCATTATGATTGTTTTTTTTGAAACCTTTTGTTACCCATGCTAGGCATTGATGCACAATCCATTTCTGAACAAAATACAAAACTGGAAATACAAAAGACAGGAGATATATATATATATATATATATATATATATATATATATATATATAACTTGGCTGGGAAGATAAGGCACATGCATTAATAGAAAAATAACAATTATTGACTTATACAATGCTATAGGAGTTTAAGGTCTGATTGGTTAAGTAAGATTTTATTGTGATGGAAATAACAAAGAATAGAATTCAGGAAGTTGGAGAGGTGATAAGAAGGGCAGTTAGAAACAGAAATAAAATAAAGACAAGTAAGAGAGTAATGGATAAGACAGGCTCTGATAATAGTGAGTTTTCCCCCATGGGACTGAAAAAGATCTGCTTTAGACAGCAGAGAGAAGAAATCTGGAAGGTGTGAGCGGGCTAGGACCATGAACTGCATATATAATTTAGATGCCACCTTGGCTAAGAAACACAGAACTATCAAATGTTTTTGACAAGGGAAGGTACATGCATGTCAGTAACATTGTTTAAAGGAAATTGGTTTTACTACAACATATAAAATAGATTGGAATGAAAGGAACTACAGATGGTATTAGTGAAATAAAATATATATTGAATTAGGAGTAGCAAATGGTAACATTATTTATAATTGAAACATAATTTGTGAGCTTTATTCCAAATGTTTTTTTTTTCTAATATTGCATTTGAGTAAATTATTGTTTATGAGGAAATCAGATAAAACTATTTCACCAGCCCTGAAAAACTTTTTGAATACATTAAATCAATTTACATGTAAATAAAAATATCTACTAACTTGAAATATCTTTGGAAATTTTAAATAGACTACAATGGATTCAAGATGGCTAAGTGAAACCCAGTCCTATCCAATGCAAGAGCTCCAAATATAACAGGTGATTGATTATACATTTAACTGTCTATCATTGATTTTGAACTAAGTACATAAAATTCATCCTGGCCTGCTTGACACCTCTGTAAAGTAAATTTCTATTTTACTCCCAGGGACCAACATGAGCCATCATGAAACATGGCAGAGAAGTCATTTATTTTCTAAATGAAGAGAAACAAAAAGTTAAGTGCTGACTTTCCCTATTCTACTTTTCAGACCTTGTACAGCACAAGTGGGTAATGTGCTCACTATGACCCAGTAACATGAAACCTGCCTCTCTCCACTCATCAAAGCTCAGCTTTCTGTGATCAGTAGACATTCTTACTCTCATTCAGAAGAGATCTGACCTACACAGGCCCTGTAGTAAAGAAAATTAGAGTAATTATCATCAGACTTTAGTCAGCACTTTGACTACAGAATTTCAGGAAGCATTTATATGCAACTATAGTGTATTTAAAATATTTTGTACAGGATTCATTTCCAGTTGACTGGAGAGGTTAACAAATCCTGTCCCCAAAAATTAACTATAAAGCTGGAAAAACTGTTAAAAATAACCATTTCATGGATAAAAAAGTTGTGGTACATATACACAGTGGAGTACTATGCGGCTGTAAGAAAGAAAGATCTCTTATCCTTTGAGATGACATGGAGGGACCTGGAAAGTATTATCCTAAGCGAAACAAACCAAACAGAGAAAGACAAGTACCATATGATCTCACTTATTTGTGGAATATAATGAACATAACAGTCTGAGGAATGGGGTAGTCCCAGAGACGAGGAAGTGGGGTACAGACTGACAATTCCCAGAAGAGGGGGTCGTGGGGGAGAGAGAAACCACAGAACTTCTATGCCTGTATTCATGAACAATGGACATGGACAAAAAGCTGGGGACAGGGTGGGGGAGGAGGGGGAGGTGGGATTAGTAGGAGAAAAAGGAGAAACATCTATAACAAAAATCAATTAATTAAATTGAAAAAATGATAGAAAAAAATAAAAATAAAAATAATACTAAAAAACTTGGATCTACATGAAGAAAGGAAAATCTTGGAAGAAAGAATAACTAAAGGTAAAATATAAACTTTATTTTTATTATCCTTAATTGATCTAACAGGTAAAATTTTGTTCAAATAATAATAGCAATAACATATTTGCTTACATATCACTGTGTGTGTGTGTATATATAATATATATATGCGCACTTATATATAAGTGAAATGAATGACAGCAGTGAAACAAGGTTTGGGAGGAACGAATTAGGATTGGTTTGTTGTTATAAGATACATTACCTGTGAAATGTATTGCATTATTTGAAAATGGACCTGCATTACTTATAAATGTATATTGCAAACTCTAGGGCAACCATTAAAAAATGTGAAAAAAGAAATTTAACATAAAAAAAAGACAGAATGGAATCATACAAAATGTTCAATTAAAGTCACATAAGGGAGAAAAAGAAGAGAAGAAAAAAATAAGTACAAAAGATAAGGGCAGCAACAAAAAAAATAATGGATACATGGTAGATATCAATCCAGCTATATCAATAATCACTTTGAATATCAATGGTCTACATACACCATTTGAAAGACATTATCAGTCAATCAAAAACCATAATCTAACTAAACTTATCAGGATAATGATCACTTTGTAAGTTATATAAATGTCTAATTACTATGTTGTACACCAGAAACTAACATATTGTATGTCAAATGTAATTGAAAAGTTTAAAAAAATTTTTAAATCATTAAAAAAATGACCCAACTATATGTTATCCACAAGAAGCCCATTTTAAATGTACAGACATATAGATCAAAAGTAAAGGGATGAATAAAAAAATATACCATATCACCTCACACCTGTCAGAATGGCCGCCATCAACAAATCATCAAACAACAAGTGTTGGCGAGGGAGGGTGTGGAGAAAAGGGGACTCTAGTGCACTGCTGGTGGGAATGCAGACTGGTGCAGCCACTATGGAAAACAATATGGTGTCACCTCAAAAAATTAAAAATTGATCTTCCATTTGACCCAGTGATCCCACTTCTAGGAATATACCCTAAGAAGCATAAAACACCAATAAGAAAGAATATATGTACCCCCATGTTTGTAGCAGCACTATTTACAATCGCTAAGATCTGGAAACAGCCCAAGTGCCCATCAGTAGATGAATGGATCAAAAAGCTGTGGTACATATACACAATGGAGTACTACGCAGCGGTAAGAAAGAAAGATCTCTTATCCTTTGAGACTACATGGAGGGACCTGAAAGTATCATCCTAAGTGAAACAAGCCAAACAGAGAAAGACAAATTTCATATGATCTCATTGATTTGTGGAATATAATGAACATAACAGTTTGAGGAATGGGGTAGTCCCAGAGACGCGGAAGCGGGGTACAGACTGACAATCCCCTAAGGAGTGGGGAGGTGGGGGAGGGATGAACCACAGAACTTATACGCATGTATGCATGAACAGTGGACAAGGACGACAATCTGGGGAAGGGGCAGGGAGGGGAGTGAGAGGGGGGAATCAGTGGGGGAAAAAAGGAGAATCATCTGTAACAAAAATTAATCAATAAAAAAAATAAAAATAAATAAAAATATATATATACCATGCTAACAGCCATCAAAAGAAAGCAGAAGTAACTAAATGAGTTTCAGAAAAAGCAGACTTCAAAGCAAGGAAAGTTATCAGGGATAAAGAAGGGCATTACATAATAACAAAGGTGACAAGTCTCCAAGAAGACATAATAATTATTAACATGTATGCACTAATTATAAAGCATCAAACTACGTGAAGTAAAAACTGATAGAACTGCAAGGAGAAATAGATGAATCCAGTATCACCATTGGAGACTTCAAGACCCCTCAGAAATACACCGATCCAGTGGGTAGAAAGTCAGCAAAGACATAGTTGAACTCAATAACACCATCAGTCAACTGGATCTAATTAACATCTATAGACTACTTCTTACAACAACAGCAGAATTCACATTTTTCTCACGCTCATATGGAACATTCACCAAGACAGACCACATTC